GATACAAATACTTTTTTTAAATCCATTTTATAAATTAGTTTAAAAAATATTATTTTGTAAAAGGTTGAAAATTTATTTTCATGATAAATATATAAGATAATGCTAAAAACTGATTTTTTTTTAAATAAATAAAATGATTTTAAATCGATTCTATAAAATAGGGAATAACTGTATTTATTATTAAAATTTTAAAAAATATTGGAGTTCGAATTTTTTTAAATAAAAGTTGAAAATTTTACTTTCATGATAAATGTTTAAGATAATGCTGCTAAAATTTAGGATTTACAAAGTTATAATTATTTATTAAAGAACACAAAATATTTAATAAGCACGTATGTGATTCCCTTTTTTATGGGAAGTTATCATATATTTTTAATGTGAAATATTTTAACTATCTTTCCACAACTTCTAAATTTAATATTTTAAAAATAATAATAAGAATTCACTATTATTTTAAATAAATAGATTGCTGCATTTATATATAAAATGTTTAATATATTTTAAACATGATAAGAAGAATAATTCATTTATATATAAAATCATTGATTAGAAAAACTAATAAAAATATATGTAAAGCGGTAGTCTATATATCTGTATATCTATATCTCATTGTTAACTTTTAAAATTGCCAAAAAATAAAAAGGTTAAAAACTGCAAACACAAAAAAAAAAGTTACGTAGAAATGCAAACACTAAAAATAAAAATTGCAAACACTATAAAAACATTGCAAAATCTTACACTTATATCTATATCTCATTGTTAACTTTTAAAATTGCCAAAAAATAAAAAGGTTAAAAATTGCTAACACAAAAAAAAAAAGTTACGTAGAAATGCAAACAGTAAAAATAAAAGTTGCAAACACTATAAAAACATTGCAAAATCTTACGCTTATAAAAATTACAATTTCAATACCGAATTCATCTTTATTTAGAAAAAAAAACATTTATCCAATTAAATAGAGAGTTTTAAAACTTCTTTTTCAAGTTGCTAAAAATTAGGATTCGATAACTATTAACCAATTCATTTTGAATTTTAAATTTTAAGTAGCCAATTATATAATAAGTTACGGATAAGTCCTAATTAAATATAACTGGTCACTTTAAAATTTCATTAACTTTAAACTTTTGATTAAGATAAATAATATATATCTATATCTAGCAAGCGTTAAATTATATCTTGAACAATATAACAAATATAAGTCATTTAGCAAATTTAAGAATTCATAATTTTATATAATAACAACATTAAATTAAGTTGAAAATTGCGATTCTAAAATATATGGTACAATTTTTAATTTTCGATTTATTTCTTTTTAAAAAATTGAATACAAAGATAACTATTATTACACATAATATACTCAAGCAGATAAATTCAAATCAACAACCTCTCATTCATATCCATATGTTTTCTAATACCATTCAAATTAAAAATTTAAAATAACCAATAAAAACTTTGAGTAAATCTAATATAGCGGTTGTATTAATTAAGATTATTTTTACCTTTAAATCAATTTTATATTATTATATTTTTGATAATATTTTGATTTAAACTAAATTTAATACTACAAAATATTTTTATAATATTTTGATTTTAACTAAAACATATATAGAAAATGTATTAACATGCCATTTAATTTCATGATATCAATTATTTTATATGAAATGTTAGAATTAATAAATTATTAACATAATTTTTTTATTCAAACGACATAAAAAGAATAAAGTACAAACACGTAAAAATATTTGAAGCATTTCATATTTGATCAAGATAAAATAATCATAAAATTAATAGTATCCTTAGAAAAATTTCACCATGATAAATTATAAAACTAAAAGAAATAATATTTTAATACAATAAAATAAAGTGTGTACTAATAATATTAATTTAATATGCTCAAATAAATAAGTTAATGATTAATATTATTGTATTATTATAAATTATATTATATTATTAAGTGCATAATACATTTTTTTAGTTATTTTTAATTATAAAATTATTACATTTTAAATTATCCGCGCAACGCGCGGACACATATACTAGTTTAAAAAACAGTTACATGAAAAAAAAAAAAATATATATATATATATATATATTTATTATTTATTATTTTTATTTTTAAAAAAAATATTATTTTAAATGTGATTTTTTCAAATTATGTAACCAATCCACTTAATACTATTTTTAAAAAATACGACAAAGTAGTTATCTTTTGAATGTGGGTTTAAAGTGGTTACCTAAAGGCTAAAACTGCTCTACCAATTATCTCTATTCTGTATTTATACACAAATAAATTCAATTAAAAAATTAATGGATCTATTATTCTTTCAACATGTAATTTTTTTGTTAAACTATTATGGGTACTATTCTCCTTATCTTCATCTTCTTCTTTTTACATTTGTAATATTTGTTGATTCTTACTGTGATTAATCTTAATAATATTTTTTAGGATTGTATGTTATTTTGGCATCTTTAAGATTTTCAATAAAGAAAATAAGTGTACAATTTCTAGATTTTTTTACCCCACAAAGAACATTGGGAGGATTTGTCAGTATGAAATTCATCAAAGATCAAATCTTTGATCCATTTGATAAATATTAGGGAAGAAATTTCGTACTTGAAGTGTATGCACAAGTATAAAGTATGTATTGAAATTTTACTTAATTTTTCAGTTCTTTTTTAGTTTGTAACCATTTTCAAATTCAATAGAATATGCAAAAAAAAATTCTATATATAAATGTCATTTTGACTTCTTATTTAATATATTTTGTGTCTTTTTTGGTGATTTTTTCAGGTTTTGCTTTCGTTTATATGAAAGGTGAATGAGATCCAGTGGATGATATTCCTTGACTTTTTATGGATATTAAAATATACTATAGTTTTAAATTTGATTTACGAAAAACTTTTTTTAAAATATGTATTGCATAAAAATGCAAAAAGAAAGATAAGGAGAAAGGCGTTCTAATGAAAAAGGGAGTTGATGCATAGTTTTTTGGTATACTTTTCAGTTGTAGTACTGACTTGTGACATGTAGTATCCATTTGTCTTTATTTGCCTATTTTTTTAAATTGTATTGTTGTATTATTTATCAATAGAGAGAACAAATTCATGCAATTATTAGAAGGTTTCTCAATCCATGTATTAAATGTAATATTTAAGAACACTAATTTCAATATTCAAGCTTTTTCATAATGACAACTTTTTAATTATTTTATATATATGATGAAATGAATATTTAACTGGAAAGTCATTCTTTAAATAGTGCGTTGAAAAGTAAGGTTGTGAAAATATGTTGTTTATATCTTCCATATACATTTTTATAAATAATAAATTATTATCAGTGGCATTAAGTTGGATATTGTAATGAAGTTTGTTCTTAAATAATTCTAAATATTAGAAAAGTACTATGTATACATGCACCTGATAAAGGCTTTGTTTGAAAAAATCTTCAAATGAAGTTCAACATTTTTGTTTTTCTAGAGTTCTTAATATGATTATAATATGTGTGTATATATATGTATATATATATAGAGAGAGAGAGAGAGATTTAACGACAACTTGTGCATTTCTTGCCTAATGTTTTGAAGCAAATAATTGTTTGATTAATTTTGTATTTCTATGATGGATATGGATTTTTGACATATGTACTTGCTATTATTTGATTACTCCATTATAATTATTAATTTTATTATGTTTGAATTGTAATTTTTTCTACCTACACTCGACAAAATATGCCTACTCCGAATGAACTCATCAATAATAAGCAATGAAGATTGAAAGTTGGAGTTATAAAAGATTGAACGTACCACATCGCATATATTCACACATCATATTCTTTATTGGATTGATTATTCAAGATAAGAAGGTACTAGCAAAGATTTTTTTAAAAGTTTTTCTTACATTTATTGTTTTTAAAGTTCTCTATTGAATTGTATTATGATTTTAGAGTTCTATCATTTCAAATACCCATAACATTTATTAGTTAGTATGTCTTACAATTCCTTAACGCTTAAAAATATTCTTTCAAATAATTGCTTATTAATCTTCTATATACAAGATGTTTAGTCTAAGACATTATATATTATAGACTATAGATAAATACTAAAATTTTATGATGCTTTTTTTAACCTCTTGAAGAAAAGTTTCAATAAAAAGCTACTACTTCCTCCATTTTTTTTAGTTATTATGTTGTGTTTTTCAAAAATTTAATAGATACTTTTTAGAGGTGAGTTTTGTTTGTTTTCAGAACAAACAAACAAATAAATTAAATATGTTAATAATTATTATTGTCAACTTTAGACAATATACTAAACTTATATATTGATTTATTTTCACAAATATTCTACTATAACTATCAAGGGGTAAATGTTAACCTTCTCTCAAATAAACTTTACAGTATTATTTTATAATAATTTAAAATTTAAAATTGTCAATAAATCAATATTTACGATTGTATTTATCAACTAACTGCGCAACATGCGGACACGTATACTAGTTTTATTATAAAAGTCATATTAATTGATGTATAGTATTAATGAACTAACGTAATAATTTGATACTTTTAGTTAATGCTAGAAGTAAATCATGAAAAAAAAAATTATCCTTTTTTTGATACAATCTTCTTAAACTTGAAGAAGCCAATCTTTTGGGTATTAATTTTCAACCTAAATATTATGCATCTTAATAGCAACTTAATAGCATTAGTTTCTATATCTTTAAATTTTACTTCGATTCATACAATTTACATATTGAACATTAATTATAACTTCTAGAATATTGAAAAAGTAGAGGATATTCTAATGGCTAGCCCTACGTAGTGTTTTACTGAAAAATTATACCATAAAATATAATTTAAAGTCGAAGGAGAATCTTATTTTATAATTTCTCACCCTTAAAAAAATTAGCCAAATTTACATCAACGATAGCAATAACATAACAATTTGGGATGGTAATTAAAGCATTTTTATTAAGAGATGCAAATTGAAACAATTACAACAATGTCCTTAGATCCTATTCTCAAGTTTATCATGTCTACATGGAGGATTTTCCTTAGCCAAAGTCACACGACCAGCAGACTTGTAATCGAAAGTATATGCATGTTCTTCAGGATACTTATGAAGACTACAAAACATTCCTTTACATGGACAACTAAACCCTATTAATCCTACTTTCTTCTTGCAAGTCATGCATCTTTGCTTAATTCTCATTGTCGAATCAACATTCTTAGTCGTTGTACCTTCATGAAAAGTAAGAGATGATATCTTTTCAGATAAAACCGCGATATTCTTGGCTTCTTCTTCTTTAAGAAAAGCTTTGTAACATTGAGAACAAAGGTTGTGGTTGCTTGAGGTTCCATAAAAACCACAACCCCTTGCACATAAAATTGTATTTTCTACTTTGCCACAAGAAGTCATTTTCCTTTAATTTGATTTATTATCACTTTGTTGTACTAATATTTTGATTATTTCTTATTAGAAGAGAAAATTATACTAGCTCTTAATTGATGAGTGTTGCTTTTGCCTTTTGGTGGTGATAATATATAGGGAGAAAAGTTGGTATTCATAATGAATATCAAATAGGAGTTACCTAATTTTGATTGGCTAACCTTTTTTTTAGCGGTTGTTTGCCCTTTCCTTTTTTGATTTGGTTTCAGTTTTGGGGAATATTGATATTTCCATTTCCAACACGGATTTTAATAGGAATTATGCTAAATTTTATAATAAGTTCAGATATGGAATCTTTAAGCGTTTTTTGAAATATAAAATTGTCATATTTGAAAATTACGTATAAAAATAAGTGGTCTTAATTTATTTTTAGATAATTTCCAAATATGACAACTTTATAATTCAAAACACTTAAAGATTCCATATATAAACTTATGATAAAAATTTAATATGTCTCCTATTAAAATCCGTGTTGGAAAAGTAGGAAACAACCGCTAAAAAAAAGTTAGTCAATCAAAATTAGGTAACTCCTAATTTGATATTCATTATGAATACCAAATTTTCTGTCTATAAATTATGGTATTCACTTATTTATGTTTAATTAAGATTTGTTAGAGTGGTTGCTAGTTCTAGTTTAATTTGGTTCCTACTTTTAAATAGGAATATATAGCTCTATTCATATTATTGTTTCTTTAATTCATCAATCACTGAAATAATGGCTCGAGCTAAAATAGGTCGGTTGGGTTATATATTTTTTCCGAAAAATATTGAACTCATGAATTACTTGGTAGGATTTACGCGAGATGAACCACTTCCCAATCAGAATCAATTTATGGAGGTGGTTAATCTTTACACGGAGAACGAATCCTGGCATATTTTTGAAGGCGCTAACAGCTACACACGTTACTTCATAACGCCCCAAAAGAAAAAAAAATGGAAAAGAGTTGTCCGAACTATGGGGAAGGGTACGTGGAAGCCACAAGGAAATGGAAAAGAGGTGTTTGACAACAAAGGTAGACTTATGGGTTACGTGAAAAGTTTGAAGTACACCTACGGCGAAAGTGATAACAAGAATGCTAATGGTGAGTGGCTAATGAAGGAATACTCTTTGTATGATGGTTATTTGGGTACTAGAGAAATTAAGAACATGGGTTATGTAATATGTAAGATAAAGAAGAAGGAAAAATCTATTAGCGATGAGAATATGAATGACGTTGGAGAACTTATTGATTCATCTTTACAATTAGAAGATGACATTATTGTAGAGGAAGACGATGTTGGAGATGAAGTACTTGCTATTATGGACAAAGAAGACGATGGTGATCGTAATATAAAATGCCGAAAGGGATATCCCTCGGCTGATATTGATCTTGAAAACATAGACTTTGTTATAGAATTTAACAATTAGTATACTCTCAATTTTTCTTGTAATATATATATATATATATATATATATATATATATATATATATATCATACCTTTATTTTCTTTTTGTTTTGTCTATGGAATCAAGTAGATACAAAAAATTTGACTAAGCAAAGATGCATGACTTGCAAAAAGAAAGTGAGATTAATAGGATTTAGTTGTCGATGTAAAGGAATGTTTTGTAGTGTTCATAGGTATCCTGAAGAACATGCATGTACTTTCGATTACAAGTCTGCTGGCCGTGTGACTTTGGCTAAGGAAAATCCTCCATGTAGACGTGATAAACTTGAGACTAGGATCTACGATGTTGTTATAATTGTTTTGATTACTTTCAAATTTTATCTTTCCTTTGTACAATCAAATTTCTATTTTCATCTCTCAATAAAAATGCTTTAATTACCATCCCAAATTGTATGTTGTTGCTATCGTTAATGTAAAGTTTGCTAATTGTTAAGGGTGAAAAAAAAAAATCTATTTTCCTCTAACTTTGAGGAAAAAAATAAAATCAGATTTTCCTTTGACTTTAAACTATATATAGCAGCATGATATAATTTTTCAGTAAATTAAAACAATACATAGTATTATAATATCCTCTACCTTTTCAGTATACTAAAAGTCATGATTTAATTACTAACAACAATGAAACTCAATGTTCATATAAATTGTATGAATCAAAGTAAAATTTAAATATATAGAAACTATTATTAACTTGATGATTGTCAATACAGACGAGTCTATATGATCTATGATCAGTTGTATGCATATATATGATCAAATTGTAATTCTTTCGAACTATAACAATATATTATTGAAAATCTTAAGTTTGTAATTCATCCACTTTATAATTAACAGAGGTAAAATGGTAAACTCACTATGTCAATCATTGTTTTCTTAATAGGTGTGACAATTCAAAAGTGGACAAGTAACTAAGGATTGTCATGACCCAGACCGTCGTGATTGGCACCACACCCCTTCGGTGGGAGAACCACTACTACAACCCAAAGCAAGCAACTAAACCAAAAACTAAAGCATTTAAGGATACGAAACAAGTTAAATACTAAGGAAAGGAATAGGGAGTTCTCATAAACTCCAACAAAAGTCCATCAACTAAACAAATGCGGAAGAAATAACCTAGAACCTGAAAGTCAATGTACCAAAACATCTAAAGTTCAACAAGTCTAGACAAGAAGGGATACAACCCCAACTAATGAACTAATAACTAACTAGAAAAGTCTAATCCCGAAATGGTGGACATAGACGAAAGAGAACCCATGGCAGCCCAGAAGAATTGGCTCACCCTTGAATTCGAAATGATTGAAGACGCCATGTACTTAACAAAAATAAGAGCAAGTGCAGTATCAGTACATAACCACAATGTAATGGTAGGATCACGCGGCTATCCCACTAAGTGTAACACAAGTAAGTCAACACAACATTATAGACACATGCATATATCGAACATATACAATATTATCAACATTTATGGACAACGAACAAATACACATTTCTCAAGATACACAATTATGACAAGTCATTGGTCCTCTCATAGAACCCAAACCCAAACAATTAGCATACATGAACACGGTATCTGATCTAATGTTTATGCCGGAACGTGGCAACCTGTCACGATCCAGACCGTCGTGATTGGCACCCACACTAACTCTCCGGTGGAAGAACCACTACTACAACCCAAACCAAGCAACTAAACCAAAACTAAGGCATTTAAGGATACGAGAGCAAATTAAATAGTAAGGACAGAAATAGAGAGTTCCCATAAACTCCAACAAAAATCTAACAACGAACTAAACAATGCGGAAGAAATAACCTACAACCTGAAAGTCAATGTACCAAAACATCTAAAGCTCAACAAGTCTAAACAAGAAGGGATTCAACCCCAAACTAACAAACTAATCAACTAACTAGAAAAATCTAAGTCTGAAATGGTGGACATAGATGAAAGAGAACTCATGGCAGCCTGGAAGAATTGGCTCACCCTTGAATTCGAACGATCACTGATCTTCTAAACGAGGTCTATCAATAGTTGCTTAAAGATGTCCTGTACTCAAAAAAATTAGAGCAAGTGCAGTATCATTACACAATCACAGTGTACTGGTAGGATCACGCGGCTATCCCACTAAGTGTAACATAAGAAAGTCAATACAACATTATAAACATGCAAAATACCAAACATATACAGTATCGATTATCACATGCTCAACAATATACACAATTATGACAAATCATTAGTCCACTCATGGAACCCAAACCCAAACAGTTAGCATATCGAAACGCGGTATCGATCAAAGGTTTATGCCGGAATCTGGCAACCGATTCCATAATTATGTCGGAACGAGGCAACCGATCCCAATTAGTTGTGCCGGAACATGGCAACCGATCTATTCAACACACCACAATCACAATTACAAGTACCTTCTCAAATTCATACAAATAAGTCATGATTCATGACATTAATCATTCATCTATATCATTTACAATAAGTGTAATCAATAATGCAACATTCACATATATGCAAGTATCATAATGAAGCAAGAACAAACATACATCATACAATCATAGAATCACAACCATCACCTACTTCGAAACAAGCTTTGAAACCCTAAGAAACTTGATCCTTTCCTTTCCGGATTCGTTTAGCTTGTTTTTGGTCTACAAACAATCATAATGACTAATTACCCGAATTGCTAACAATTCTATGAACCCTAGATCAAACTCATGATTCCAAGTATCAAAAATAGGGTTGTTTCCACCATATAATCTAGATCAAAACCCTCCCCCATCGATAATTACCCATTATATTACGTTTTATGGATCGAAAAATGGATTCGGGAAGGGAAAAACTTACCTTTAGCCTCAAGAATGGTGGAAAACTGTTAGGAGTTGCCTGGGGTTCGTTCCTTAGCTCTAAAAATTGAAAAGTGCAAAATAAGGTCGTTTAGGGGTTTATTTACGACTTTAAGTCGCATCGAACCCGCTACAGTGGCCCTCACCCCGCTGCAGCGACCCCGCTAGAGTGACAAAAAGCACCGCCACAGCGGCTTACACGAAACAGTGAGCTATTTAAAGAATTCCAAAATCCCCATTTCACAACACACATCTAACCCACGATGCTAGGAAAATATCCTTCACGCTAAAATCGATTTCGTGAGTTTTACTAGCCCGAATTTAATTCTATAAAGTCGTACGGATTCTTTAACGAGTTATCTAACCACTCATGTAACCAGAATTATAAATAAATCACTCAATTGTTACCAGATTTTTCTACACCTTAAAGACTCCGATTTCGTCCAAATCTGGACTAGGTTGGGAAAATCCAAATACTACGGAAAAAGTTTTCGGCCCCAAATTTTCCGTCGTTGGCTTCTCTATAATAACAGAACCTGGTCATTACAATAGATATCAATCTACCCATCACTCGTCCCTGAGTGACAACTTAGGAAAAAAAACAAGCTAATGAAGGAATAGAGAGTTCCCATAAACTCCAACAAAAGTCTAACAACGAACTAAACAATGTGGAAGAAATAACCTACACCCTGAAAGTCAATGTACCAAAACATTTAAAGTTCAACAAGTCTACACAAGAAGGGATGCAACCCCAAACTAACGAACTAATCAACTAACTAGAAAAATCTAAGTTTGAAATGGTGGACATAGACGAAAGAGAACGCATGGCAGCCCGAAAGAATTGGCTCACCCTTGAATTCGAACGACCAATGATCTTCTAAATGATGTCTGTCAATAGCCGTTTGAAGATGCCATGTACTTAACAAAAATAAGAGCAAGTGCGGTATCAATACACAACCACAGTGTACTAGTAGGATCACGCGGCTATCCCACTAAGTGTAACATAAGTAAGTCAATACAACATTATAAACATGCAAAATACAGAACATATACAATATCAATTATCGCATGCTCAACAATATATGCAATTATGACAAGTCATTGGTCCTCTCATGGAACCCAAACCCAAACAGTTAGCATACCGAAATACGGTATTTGATCCAAGGTTTATGTCGAAACGTGGATCCATTCAACACACCACAATCACAATCACAAGTATCTTCTCAAGTTCATACAAATAAGTCATAATTCATGGCATTCATCATTCATCTATCTCATTTACAATAAGTGTGATCAATAATGCAACATTTGCATACATGTAAGTAACATAATAAAGCAAAAACAAACATATATCACACAATCATAGAATCACAACCATCGCATACCTTAAAACAAGCTTGAAACCTTAAGAAACTTTATCCTTCCCTTTCCAGATTTGTAATGCTTGTTCTTGGTCTACAAACAATCATAATAACACGGGAATCAATAAACAATCACTAATTACCCAAATTGCTAACAATTCTATGAACCTTAGATCAAACTCATGATCCCAAGTATCCAAAATAGGGTTGTTTCCACCATAAAATCTAGATCAAAACCCTCCCCCATTGATAAATACCCATTCTATTACGTTCTATGAATAAAAAAATGGATTCAGGGAGTGAAAAACTTACCTTTAGCCTCAAGAATGGTGGAAAACTGTTAGGGGTCACCTGGGGTTCGTTCCTTAGCTCAAAAAGTGCAAAAATAAGGTCATTTAGGGGTTTATTTATGTCTTTAAGTCTCATCGAACCCGCTACAACGGCCCTCACCCCGCTGCAGCGACCCCGCCAGAGCGACAAAAAGCACCGCCAGAGCGGTTTGCACGAAATAGTGAGCTATTTAAACAATTCCAAAATCCCCATTTCACAACACACCTCTAACCAACAACGCTCTTAACATACCCTTCACGCTAAGATCGATTCAAGGAGTTCTACTAGCCTGAATTCAATTCCGTGAAGTCGTACAGATTCCTTAACGAGTTATCTAACCACTCATGTAACCAGAATTACAAATAAATCACCCGATTGTGACAAGATTTCCCTACACCTTAAAGACTCTAATTTTGTCCAAATCTGGAC